GTAACAAATATTTTTAGCTTAATTTATGGGACAATTGCAAAAATATCACTTTTTAGTGTGTTTATTTGTAATCATGCCATTTAAGAGTGTTCATTTGCAAAAAAAATGACACTAATTATTGACTTTTAAAACATAAATCTTAAAAAAAAATTGATTACTAAAAACTTTTAAATCCTCAAAACTTAACTCTAATTCAACATAGTTAACTCAAATATAAATGATATAATGATTTTTTTTAAGTCGCATTTTTGCAAAGATTTTAAAAATATGGCATTTTTGAAAAATGACATTTTTAAAAATTTCTCTTAATTTATAGTTCACTTCAATTAAAAAAATTATGGTTCATGTACTTGAGATACCCATTCGATTTTTTTTTTTGGTTCACTTTCTAATTCAATTTTCTGATTTTAGATGTTTAAAATTCATTTAGATATTATAAAAAAATTGAATTCGATCAGTTCGGATAATTTCTACTCAAGTTCGATTTGGTTTTTCGGTTTCTGTTTTTTTTGCCCACCCATTGTTAAGAGAGGATAAAAACGTATTTCCAAGCATAGCTCATTAAAATATAGTGATATCAATTAAATTGGGGAAAAATCATGAAATCCAAAATCTGAAATAGATTTACGGTTTTAGGGTTTTTAAATCCCAAAATCGATTTGGAGAAGAACAAAAAGAACAAAACCAAGTTTTGTTAATGTATCAAACACGTATTCGTAAAAATTTAACAGCGTTTTGTAATTTCCTTTAGTCGAATTGAAATCATTAATGTCGAGGTAGTAAAACTAACACATTTTAAAAGTTTAAGTATATAAACAATAATCTTAAATATTTGGTGTATTTATCGGATATCCAGAAAAATTAGGTATTTTTCAATAAATAAAATTAAATTAGGGGGGGTTATTCAATGTTTCAATTGGAAAGAATTCAATTACGGTTTTGTAGGAGAGATTTTATTGAGAATTTAAAATAATTCTATCCAAATCACACCTCAAAAGTAGGGAATTGTTTCTTCACGTTTTTTCTTGAACTTTCTATTAAATTCTTTCAAAAGCCACTAACCCATGAATCTCACAAAATATTGAATAACACTAGCATTTTATAGAATTGAGAAATTTTTAAATTAAATAACACTAGAATTTAAAAGAATCTATAAAATGTCTTATTGAATAACACCAGAATTTTATAGAATC